CTGATTAAGTTAATAACAATGTACCTACCTATATAGTTTAAGTTTAAAAAATTTGGCTCTCAAATGAAATTTCAATCGTTGTACTGTTGATATTTGGCTCTGTTGACTAATGAGTTTGCCAACCACTGTTTTAGATAATTGAATATAGTACATTATAATTTTCAAAGGTTATACAAAATTTCATCTGGTTCTTCATTTTGTAAATAAGGAAACAGGCTTGGCACATTTAGCCATTTGTCCAAGTCACAGCTAATAAGTGGTAAAGGCTAAACTTCAACTCTGATTGATATTTTGGTTATAGATTTTTTATGTTTTCTCTAATTATCTCTTTGAATCCTTTAATTTGTGGACAATATAAAAAGCATCTTTATCAGATTTGTAGATGAGATGAAGCTGAGGGTGATGAGATAATACTTTGGTTCACCCAAAATGAATGTTGGGAAGATATTGACTGCCTCTGTTGTCAGGAGTGCAGTGCCAAATGTCAGGAGTTTAAAACGGGATTATTAAATTTTAGTGTGAAGCTAAATTAGATGACCTCTAAGATTTTTTTAAATTTTAAATTCTAATATTCTCTCTTAGGAGAAACATAAGAAAGTGTCTTCAAGTTTACTTGCCCATAGAACCCATTTAAACCAGTTGGCTGACAATCATGATATTGAGCATTTGGGTTAAAGGAGGAAACCAAAAAAAGTGGTTTCATAGATAAATGATTTGGCTCAATAAACGATCATATTTTTATTTATGCACATTATTTTTCTCTCCTTGCAGAACAAAAGAGCAAAATATGTGTTAAAACTTTAAAAGATCAATAACATAAGATCAGTAATAATCCAAAGGAAACCACATAATTCAACTTAGTTGATAAATGCTGCAGGTATACATTGAAGGTCATAAAATAACCCATGCAGCTTTCTGGCATTCCTTGGATACAGCATTTGTTACTAAAGGCAGTTCTTCATGTGATAAGAACTATACCACTAGTTCTTATATATATTTGGGGGAAATTTTTAGAAAACAACTTTTCTTAGCTATCTTTTAAAAGCATCTTGAAGCTCTACTGGTGTGGCTCAGTGGTTGAGTACCAACCAACCTATGAACCAGGAGATCACAGTTCGATTCCTGGTCAGGGCACATGCCCGGGTTGCTGGCTTGATCCCCCGTAGGGGGCATGCAGGAGGCAGCCAATCAGTGATTCTCTCTCATCATTGATGTTCTCTCCCTTTCCCTTCCTCTCTGAAATAAATAAAAATATATTTTTTTAAAAACCAAAACAACAACATAAAAGCATCTTGAAGCACTGGTGTTTTAGTACATAGTTTGGGAAATAATGTTCTTAAAACATGCTAGGTGTTAACTTTTTTTGAGTATCGGGAAATTTGTGTATGGCTACCTAAAGTCTTTGGGTACTGGCACTGAGTATGTATACTCTTAACTTTATACCTATTATAACCTTGAAATAAGTTTTTAAACTTGTTTTATTAACATATAACAGCTTTATATTTTTACTTTATTGCTATAAGATTTCTTATTTTCTTGTTGCTGCTTTTATTTGTATTTGTGAAAGCCAACCTCTATATGCTATCCCATTTCCAGTATAGTAAATGAAGACAAAAACATTAGAAGTGTGCTTTCTTCCAAGGTATATACTGTTTAAATATATAATGGAGTCTTGAGGAATTGAATATTTTTATTCCCAAGCTATAGTAAATCAGAGAGGAGGTGACCAGCATGGTATTTTTAACTATAAGGAGACAAACATCAAGGAGGTTCTTTAAAATCAGGACATACCACAACCATTAGGAACTGAGAAAAACTGTAATGATAACTGCTTAATTTTATTTCCAACTACAGAAGTTAATGCTTTATTTGTATCTCACAGCAAAAGTTCAAACAGACCCTCCCTCAGTTCCAATATGTGACCTGTATCCTAACGGTGTATTTCCCAAAGGACAAGAATGCGAGTACCCACCCACACAAGATGGGTAAGGATCATAAAATAACTTTCCAGTTTGACTTTTGAAAGTTGTAGTTTAGCAATAAAGCAGATTTAATTTTTCTCCACTACCTTAATAAAAGCTTGTGAATTTGTTGCAGAGAAAATACAGTAGAAGCCCTCTTATCCAAAATGATTGAGACCAGCAGTTTAGTTAATCAAAAAAGTATGTTAAAAATGGGATTACAAAAAGTAAAAATCCTATATAATAAAAGGCTAAATGCAAATTGTCCCCTTGGGAGTTTCACCAGGAGACCAGGAGTTCGATTGCTCGCTATGACATGCGCTGACCACCGGGGGGTGGCACGGAACATGGCAGGTGACCAGTGGTGGCGGCAGGGTGCTGAGTGGGTGAGGGAAGGAACAGGCGGGGAGGTCAGGAGGCAGGGAACCTGATCGTCCCTGATTGCTGGCCAGGCCTAGAGACCCTACCTGTGCACTGGGCCTCTCGTCTTTATTGATAAAAGTTAACTTAAATATTTGGTTTTCATCATTTTTAGGATAAATTTGCATTGGACTCCACTTTCTCCCCCATAAGTCATATCCACAATGCATTGCCTATGAGTCTATTTTATTTTGAATTTCTATGAATAACTAAGTAATCTGAGAGCTGATGCCTGTCTATATCTTTACATTTTTTTCCTGAAACCATTTATAATTCTTTACTTAATTTGACAGAAGTATTTTTTGATGACTTGCCTTTATTGAGATTGTTCTGAGTAGTCAATTTAGTTTTCATAGAAACAATTTTTTAAATGAAATATATATAATTAAATAACATAATTATAGTAGTAACCGCAGGTGACTTAAATAAGTTTTAGGAACAAATCACCTAAATTCTTGGAAGTATTCTGAAAGGATATGTGTTTCCACTGGTTAGCAGACACATAATGGCATTATGCAGACTGGTTAACACGTTGCGTACCGCATAGAAATCTCGGGACTGCACGTTTTTGGGCAAACTGGACGTTATTTAAATCATCATAATGCACTTTAGGTGTTTTTCAATAATTATAACATTTTTATTTACAAAAACAATTAAACAATTAAAGTTCCAAGTACTTTTTTAACGTATGGTACTGCGTAAAACATTTTCCTCTATGAAGAGGGACCAAACAAAATTTACATAAGTATCTAGATTCGCTCCTTTTTCCATGGGCGTGAAAAACGAGAACACTCGTGAGCGGTCCTTAACAGATGGCGCGCGAAACACGAGAAAACTGAGCGGTACGAAATGTGTTAAGAATATGGAAGCTAGGGCTAAACTATCTGCATTTGAATCCTAGCTCTAACACTTATTAGCTTTTTGACTTGGGCAAGTAATTTATCATGTCTATAATTTTATTTCCTCATCTGTAAAAAAAAAAAAAAAAAGGGGGGCACTTCATAAGGTTGTTGTGAGGAATAATAACATATGCAAAGCACTTAGCAGAGTAACAGACACATAGTAAGCATTAAGTAAGTGTTAGCTGCTATTCAGAATAGGAACTTGTCATCTGCTGATATTCAGAATACAATGGGAATTAGTCACTATGTTTACTGAGGGAGTCAAGAGCATTGGCTAATTGAGTGGTTGCAATAGTTGGCTAAGAAAGCTTCTACTGTAGCATTGTTTTTTGTTGTTTTGTTTCTCTCTTAGAGTGGAAGGGAACAGGGAGGGGCAGAGAGAGAAAAAGAGAAATATTGATGTGAGAGACTCACGGATTTGTTGCCTCCCACAGGCGCCCTGAGGGCGGGGATCAAGCCTGCAATCCAGGTACTTGCCCTTGACCTCGAATCAAACCCAAGACCTTCCTGTGCACAGGCCAATGCTCTAACCACAGAACCAGGGCAGGTTTTTGTTTGTTTGTTTTTGTTAATTAGAAAAGAGCGTGATGTTATATTTTTACTGCCTTCCTTGTTCCCAGTACTCATAGGGAATTAGCCTGTAAAGTTGGGGAATTTTATGGTATAGGCATCTTTTCTTTAAATTGAATTCATCAGTCAATATCCTATCTTGATGCATCTATTTAAAAAATGTACAGACACATAATTTTATATTAATTACATAAAATTTCATGGTACATAGGATGTGATCACATTTATCTTTAAATAAAAATTTTTAATTTTTTTTTTTTGCTTGTTCCCTCTTCCTTCCCTTCCTTCCAGACCCATGTAAGCATCTAGCAGGTAGCCTTCCATATTTTTCTATGCTCATATATGTGTTAACTATGTCTGTTTCTATAAGGAGAGTGTTTTGGTCATTGCTTGTTTACAAAAATGAAATCAGGCATACTTTTCCTCCGCCTTACTTTCCTCATTCAGTACTACCCTTTAAAGTTCCTCTATGCCCTGACCGGTTTGGCTCAGTGGATAGAGCGTCGGCCTGCGGACTGAGGGGGCCCAGGTTCGAATCCAGTCAAGGGCATGTACCTTGGTTGCGGGCACATCCCCAGTAGGGGGTGTGCAGGAGCAGCTGATCAATGTTTCTCTCTCATCGATGTTTCTAGCTCTCTATCCCTCTCCCTTCCTCTCTGTAAAAAATCAATAAAATATATTTTTTTAAAATAAAAAAATAAAGTTCCTCTAAGTCAGAATAGCTCTGTAATTCTTTTGAATGGCTTCATAATATTCTATGATGTGAACATATCATTCTTTATTTCACCATTTTCTAATTGGTGAGCATTTACTTTGTCTCCAGTATTTTTTTGCTATTATAAACCATCCTATATAATAAAAGGGTAAGATGCAAATTAACCCTAATGGCTGAATGACCCAGAATGACCAGTCACTATGACACACACTGACCACCAGGGGGCAGACACTCAATGCAGGAACTGACCCCTGGTGATCGGTGTGCTTTCAGAGGGGGAGCTCCACACAACCACAAGCCGGGCTGATGGCTGCGAGCGCAGCAGCAGTGGTGGTAGCCTCTCCCGCCTCTTCGGCAGTGCTAAGGATGTCTGACTGCTGAGTGGGCCTAAGCTGTCAGTCAGACATCTCCTAAGGGCTCCCGGACTGCCAGAGATCCCCTGGGGAGCGGGCCTAAGCCGACAGGTGGACCATCCCCCAAGGGGTCCCGGACTGCGGGAGGGCTGAGGAACCTCCCCTCCCCCCCAGATGCATGAATTTTTTATGCACCGGGCCTCTAGTTCTGTATTAAACATCTTATTTATGTATTATTGTTAAACAAAGGATAATTTCGGGAGCATTTTGCATTCAGTTATAGTTTGATCCAGGAACTCCAATCATGTTCCCAGATCTCTCTTCTTCTCTCTCTCACCTCCAGTTATGCCTCTGCTGGCTTTTTCATACATGGGCCATTGAAAATTCCAGGCCTATACTTTACCAATTAATCAACTTTATAAAAACAAACAAAACGTTTCCCCTAATAATTCTACAAAATGGCCCCAGGTGATTGAGAGTTCTTGCTTGGGTCATATGTCTACTCTTGATCCAAGCACATGGCCAAGAGAATGAAAAGTCCTGCCTGATAAACACGATCAATCTTGGCGCCAAGCACAGGGTAAGCTTCATCTCGTCAATGCAGCATCTGATCAATGCAGCTGGAGTAAGAACAGTGATTCTCCAAAGAAAATTATCATGAAAAGGAGGAAGAGATGTTCAACAGGTAGAAAACAACATGAACCCGCCCTGGTCCTGGAGCTGAAACTTGAAGATGAGCAGGAGTTAACCAAGTCGGAGCGTTGATGAGAGCCATCCCAGGCAAAGATAGCAGATATGTAAAGACAGAGCTATCCAAAAACATGGTACCTTCAGGTACATTTTAACGTTGTCTTAGCATGATGGGCCCATGTGGGCCGATGGCATGATAAAAGACCAGAAACACTGATTCTACTCAGAGTGAGCTGTGAAGTCCTTTAAAGTTGCAGCAATCTTTTGGGAAAGACCAAGTATGCCAGAAACACGCATGCCTTCAAATTTCAGAAATATTTGGGAAAGATTTTGCATAGCCCTCTTCTGAGGAATTATGACCCAGAGCTCCACATGCTTGGAACCTGGTTGTGATAGCCAAGTGGACACGAGATGGGTTCTTTTTTTAAAAAAATATATTTTATTGATTTTTTTACAGAGAGGAAGGGAGAGGGATAGAGAGCCAGAAACATCGATGAGAGAGAAACATCGATCAGCTGCCTCCTGCACACTCCCCACTGGGTATGTGCCTGCAACCAAGGTACATGCCCCTGACTGGAATTGAACCTGGGACCCTTGACTCCGCAGGCCAATGCTCTATCCACTGAGCCAAACCGGTTAGGGCTGTGGGTTTTTTGTTTTTTGGGTTTTTTTTTTTTTATTTTTTAGAGAGAGGAAGGGGGAGAGAAACATCAATTTGTTGTTCCATTTTATTTATGCATTCATTGGTTGATTTTTGTACGTGTTCTGACTGGAGATTGAACCCACAACCTTGGTGTATCAAGACTATGCTCTAACCAACCAACTGAGCTACTCAGCCAGGGCTGGAATTACATGTTTTTGATCTGTGGTTTGGAATCTGTAAATGCAGAAGACTGAATTAAGCAATACATGGTTATTTTACTTCTCGGTGGTCAGGCCCCCCAGACCCCATGTTGTTCAAGGCTCAACTATATATTCTCATATATAATGGAACCAGTTTCTGTATTATTTATTCTCTTCCTTTGATCTGTTTGTCTATTCCTGTGTTAATACTATTTTTATTTCCTAAACTGTATACTATTTTGATAATTTGATAAAGCAGTCTTGTCTTCTCTGCCACACACCCAAACACAGTTCCTTTTCATACTTTTCTTAGCTATTTTGTCATATAATCTTAACACACACACCCAAGAGAAATGTCCTTGTTAGAATTCTCATCAGAATTGCATTACATTTATGTATTTGTTTTTAGAAAATTGGCAGTTATGTCACATTGTCTTTATCTAGTGTCATGGAATATTTTCCCACTTATTCTGATTTTTTTTTTTTTTTTTTCTGGTAGGTTCTGTCCCATTCTTGTTAAATTTATTATATATTTTTTAAACATGGAACACTTCACGAATTTGTATGTCATCCTTGCTCTGGGGTTATGTATTTTTCCAACTTGAGTATATGTGCTGCCAAAGCAAGCACATTAAATTTATTCTTGACTGTTTTCTGGTATTGTTACTGATGTGAACAAGGAGTTTTTATTTCTACTTCCATTTCTAGATGTTTATTGCTAAAGTGGAGGAAAGCCATTGGTTTCTTATAGTTGTAACAGATTGTTAATATTTTATATCACTGTGAATTGGTGGAATATTTGAAGTAATGTTAAGAAAAGCAAATTTTGGCCCTAGCCAGTTAAGAGCATTGGCCCTCGGACTTAGGGTCTTGGGTTTGTTTCCGGTCTAGGGCACGTACTTCGGTTGCAGGCTCGATTCCTAGGGCACATGCGGGAGGCACCCAATCCATGTGTGTCTCTCACATCAGTATTTCTCTCTCTGTCTCTTCCACTCTCTAAAATCCAATGGAAAAAATATCCTTAGGTGAAGATTAATATCTCTTGGGGTGATACTTTTCTTAAATATTGAAAGCAATGCTATATGCTGTCCTAGAGAAATACAAAAGAAATTAAGGTATTGTTATGTTTGCTTTTTGATAACTCTCAATATTTGTTGACATTCATAAAATCAGTTTTGACTATTTGCAAATAGGTCAGAATAAATATTCTTATAGATTTGGTAAAATATTAAATAGATTTTTATATCTTGCCTCATTGTTTTTAAATAAACTAATTGTAAATTGCTTGAATTATCACAAAGAACTCAATTGTAACTACCACCCATGTTGAGTACATTGCTTTATTTTAAAATAATTTAATACTTCACAGGAATAATTCCATACTGTGAGAATATTACAAAGAACTCCTGCATACTTTTCACTTAGATTCTTAACATTTTGCAACTTTTATTGTTCTGTCAATGAAATATGACAATTATACATACTCTATATAATATAAAATAACATTCCATTTTTTCCTTGGAAGATAAAAGGCAAATGGAGAAAATGTTTCATTGGTGAATTTGTATGCATACTATTTTTCTGATTGATTTGAGAGTAGATATCACTTAGATAAGGTATTATCTAGTTTTTTTGGTTTATCAGTACTTTTTTTCTTCTCGTAATTACTAATTTGTGGGAAACTAATTTGTGAATATGAAAATATCTCATTCCTTATGTTGTCCTCCCATGTAGCATCCATTGATGATCTTTGTCTGAATCCATTTTTATTTTTTATTGATTTCAGAGAGGAAGGAAGAGGGAGAGAGAGAGAGAAAAGAGAAACATCAGTGATGTGATAGAATCATTGATCGGCTGCCTCCTGCGTGCCCCCTACTGGGGATCAAACTTACAACCTGGGCCATGTGCCCTTGAACCTGGGACCCTTCAGTCTGCAGACCGATGCTCTATCCATGGAGCCAAACCAGCTAGGGCTGAATCCATTTTTATTACACTGGTTGTTGCCCTTTTAAAAAATACAACATTCTATGTTTATTTCCAGTGTTATTAAAAGTTTTTTAAACCAATTTTTTAATGGCTGTAATGCTATTCTATTCTGTATCTGGCTTAACTTTATTAGTTATTTCCCTATTTTTGAATATTTATATTGACTTCAATATTTTATTAGGAAAATTTCTGTGATGAACATTGTAGTATGTTAATTGGAACTGGTTTTTCTCTTATTCTGGATATCTAGAAGTAGAATGAAGTATTATTTTGAAATTCTTTATCTATTTCTAAATTTAGTAGACAATTTTGGGGGGGAAATGTTAATTTTACAAGCCATACATACCCACTATAGAATAGTTAGTAAATACAGATTAGCAAAAAGAAGAAAATAGAAGTCTCCTTAATTCTGCCAGTGAATTACTAGTAAAATCACTGTTAACTTGTTAATATTTCTTCCTCTAAAGGCTCTCATATAAATACCTAGAACTCTTTTTCAAGGTAGACTTATATCACAATATCATTCCTTTTAAAATTTGTTTTCATGTTAGTAAAGAAACCAACAGTATTTCTAATGGCTGAATAATTTTGCACATCTGTGTGCATATCATAATTTGTCCAGTTTTCTCTTATTGGACTTACACTTTATTTCTAGTTGCTTACTATTTTTTTTTCTTTTATTCTAGTTGCTTACTATTATAAATGATGGAATAAATATCTTTGTTGGAATAAATATCTTTGTTGATTTCAACTTTTATAGTGAATTCCATAAGAACTCTATACCCAGATTGAAAAGTGCTTATTAACATTTTGCCCTGTGTGTGTGTATGTATGTGGTTTTTTGTTGTTGATCTTTTTCTTTTGGCTGGGCCATTTAAAAAGAAGTCTTATTTTGAGTCCTTACTTCTAGAAACTTCAAGTCTCTCCCTAGAATTAGAAATTCTCTAAATTATTACAGCCAAGTATATTAACAGTAACTTCCCAGTATCATGTAAATAATTACCTAATGTTCATATTTAGAATATTTTTCCTGTTGTCCCTGGAACATCTTTTTAGTTATTTTTCCTCCTAAACCAGGATCCAATCAAGGTTCATACATTGCATATGATTAGAATCCCTACCTTCATCTCTTCAATTGAACTGGCTTTTTTAAGAGATCAGGTAATTTAAAAAATCTCTTGTTCTGGGATTTCTCCCATTGTTTCCTTGTGGTGTCATTAAACTTTTTTCTGTTTTTGTATTTTCTATAAACCGGAATTAGTTGGAAAGGCTTACATTAGCATTATACTAAATATATTTGACAGGGATATATTATAAGTGACATTAAAGTACTTCATATTATACCATAGTCTGTTGCATCAGATGTAATTTCAGATTGTTCATTAGTTTATCTGTATTTACTCACTTGGGTAATATGAAGACCATCATCCCTGTTTCTTTTTTTAAAGATACTTTTTTCTTTTTGCAGTTAACATGTAATCTATGGGGTAGTTTGGAACCATTGGAATATCCTTGTCTTTAACAACCTTTCACTTAGCTATTTTAGTATTCATTGATGATCCTTTATCAGTAATTTATTCACTGTATTGCAGTGAATTTCTAATTCTGTCGTTTCTTTCTTTTTTTTTTTTTTATTCTCACCCTAGAGCATGTTTATTGATTTTAGAGGGGCGGGGAGAAACATCTATGTGAGAATGAAACATTGATTAACTGCCTCTTGCACGCCCCCTACTGGGGATCAAGCCTGCAACCCTTCAGTGTGTGGGACTGACCCAACCAGCTGAGCCACACAAGCGAGAGCAGCAGTTAAACATTATTTACAAAACAGGTGCCGGGCTGGATTTACCTGCAGACCACATAGTTTGCCAGCTACTAACTTAAGGCCATAGGAATAATTTGAAAGCATCACTTTCATACTAAGTATAATTTATATACCTCCGTGATCACTGAGTTTGTGAACTATACAGTATTTTTTAAATTATTTTATTTTAGAGAGTGGGAGAGGGGAGAAACATCAATTTGTTGTTCCACCTATTTATGCATTCATTGATGGTTTCTTGTATGTGGCCTGACCAGAAATCGAACTCAAAACCTTAGCATATAGTAGGGACAGTGCTCTAACCAACTGAGCTATCTGGCTAGGCCTTATATATTCAGTATTTCTTAAGAATGTGTGAAAGGATAACAACTTTTTCAAAGATTTTCATTTGAAAACAGTTTTCAAAATGTACTGCTTAAAGGCAATCAGTGGATCTCCTCATTCCCAGATACTGAAAAAAAAATCTGTTACTCCTAGCACTTTTAAAATGTGAGCCATATCCTTCAAGGAAGATTACCATATATATATATATATATATACACACACACACACACACACACACACAATTAGAAAACTCCTGGAAAAGCTTTTTTTTTATCAAGTCTTTGTATTAGTACTTGCCCTATTGGTGACGTTAAATGCTAAATTTTGGTGTGCTCTTTTGAATCCTCTTATTATATATATTACCTCGAGTGGAATGATGACTTTTTCTCCTACCTGCTTGGTATCTAGGACTCTTCTGACTTTTCTGGTTCTCTCGTTTTGTGTTATTTTCTGTGGCATGGTATTAGTCCTCTGGCTATGAATGCAATCTCACTTGATTTTTTTTTTTTTAAGATTCTTGGAAAGTATTTATTATGATTTGGCTTGATTACAAGTGTTTGACTACTTGTATTCAGAAGTTATGCTGACATTTAGTGAAAGAAATTAAATATGTAATGTTTTTATCTAAAATGTCTTATATTAGTATATTTTTATCTCAGCTTTTATGTTTATTGTGCTGTTTCTTAAATTACTAATACTATGCTATGTGTACTATAAAGGCGAACAGCTGCTTGGAGAACTACAAGTGAAGAAAAGAAAGCATTAGATCAAGCTAGTGAAGAGATTTGGAATGATTTTCGAGAAGCTGCAGAAGCACATCGACAAGTTAGAAAATACGTTATGAGCTGGATTAAGCCTGGGATGACAATGATAGAAATCTGGTAAAAGGAATATGATTTTGTAAGAACATGAGAAAAATAATTATTTTTTAGAGTTGACTTTTCAGTTGTAATGTTTGGCTTTCATTACTACTTTAAATGAAGGTTCTAGAAACATCTTCTAAATTCTTGTAATGTTGATGTAACGAGGAAACCATTAGAGGCATTTGTACTTCACCCATCCTATTTTGTATTCACGTACACTCATGTGCAAATGCACCCATTATTCTTATTTTTTGTCCTAAACTCTATTGGTTTGCTATCTAGCAGTTCATATTAAATTAAAATTCTTGGACACAAAACATTTATAATGTAATGAAGAAACCAATAAAAGTAATTATTTCTTCAGTTTCCTGTTGAGAAATAATTAGCTGTAAGAGGCAACCTAATTCTCTGATTCATATTTCAAAATATGCAACATTGAGCAAATAAAGTGTAATCAGCATTTAAATTAGTCTACGTCAAGAATGTTACCTACTAGGAAACTTAAGTCCTCTCATTTCATTTCTCCAGATTTCTAGTGGAATTAAATTTTTTATCTTTTAGAGGTGCGCTACTATTTTCATAGCTTCAGGGAACTGTTATTCACATTCAGAAAGTGCTCAGATTATTTCCAGGAAGTAATTTAAGAGAGTTTTATTTAACTTTCTGAACATGATGAACTGCAAGGTTTATAAGGTTATACCTTATATAAAATGTCAAAGTAAACAAATTTTGTTTTTATTTTTTAGCGAAAAATTGGAAGATTGTTCACGAAAGCTAATAAAAGAGAATGGATTAAACGCAGGCCTGGCGTTTCCTACTGGGTGTTCTCTCAATAACTGTGCTGCCCATTATACTCCCAATGCTGGTGACACAACAGTATTACAGTATGATGATATCTGTAAGATAGACTTTGGAACACATATAAGTGGTGAGTTCTTAGAAATAATTTCACCCCACTCCCTAAAAGGACTAGTCTTATCTGTGTTGGATGGGGTGGGGCTATAGGTACTGAACTCCCAAATTTTCTTCTTGATGCCTCACTTTTTAATAGAGCTGTGTTGAGGTAGATTTTGAAATTGGCTTTAAAGCCTCCTACTAAATGGAGTATAATAAAAGCCGTCAGGTAATTGAAGTTTACCCTTTGTATCAAGGCATGAAAAATATTATCCTACATTTCTTCAGTTATTATTTCAGACATTTATTCATATAACATCAAATGTTTACTTAGAACCTTTAAGTTTACCAACGTTTATAATTGTTAGCTTTTCTGCAAGTATTGTTTTATCTCACTTTAACAGGTGAAAAGTAAAGCTTAAATTAAGTACTTACCTAAGCTTTTATTAAATTAAAGAAGCTGGAATGATGGTTAGCATCCTGGGGACCTACACATATTCTCTGCCTGGATTTCTGTTTCTTAGTTCCCTAGGCTTTTCTAGCTTTGATTGATTTCTGTTTATATTTTTGCATAACTGCTTCAGTGATACTGAATTAGTGCTATCTTGAAGTAATATGTACTACCACTGGAATTATCTTTTCATCCTGAATCCTTCATATAACTTAATTTTACTTTTTCCCCCTTTGGTTATGAATGTGTACTTAGAGTGCTGCTTTCATTTGAGCCCATCATTTTATTTTCCTGTTAATTAGCAAGGATAAGCAATAGAGTAGATGCTATAAGATAGATAAATCAACTAGCTGATAAGTAAATTTAAATGGGAATTTTTTTCTTTCAGGTAGGATTATTGACTGTGCTTTTACTGTCACTTTTAATCCCAAATATGATACATTATTAAAAGCTGTAAAAGATGCCACTAACACTGGAATAAAGGTATGTGAACTGTAATCACTATTTCATTCAACATATTTTGAGCACATTATAAGCTGTTGAAGGTGTTTGAGTTATGTAAGACTACTCCACTGCCCTTAGGGTTTTAAGTGGATAATTATATAATGTACCAAAGGTTTTTATAGAGAAAGTTACAATGTACAAAGCAGTTTTGAAGTTAAGCTAATGTAAAATTCTGCACTTTGAATAACACTATACATTATTTGGTCTTTAGTGTGCTGGAATTGATGTTCGTCTATGTGATGTTGGTGAGGCCATTCAAGAAGTTATGGAATCCTATGAGGTCGAAATAGATGGGAAGACATATCAAGGTGTGTTCTTTAAAAATGTATCTTACTTAAAATGGTGTGAGCTTTGCAAAATTAATTTTAAAAAAGAGTGTTGAGTGCTTTCTTTGGGTCAGCTGCTACATCTTTATCGCTTGAGAATATAGAGGGAAAATGGGGAAATGACCTGCTTATGGTAGGAGGAGTATGTGGTTGTTAGCTGGGAATTGTTGCCAGGCTCCTCTGGTAGCTGATAAGAAGACACTTGGGGATTTATCCCAGGGTGGCCAAAATGCAGACTAGGTTTTCTGTGACTAGTCAGATCACAATTGCCTCAGTGAGTACTGAATTAGTGCTGTCTTGAAGTAATATATGCTATCCCTGGAATTATCTTTTGCATAACTCAGAGAAGTTAAATACAAAATTGAGAGGCCGGTTTATTCCTTGTGTGTCCTTTAATCTTTGTTGTTGTTTTTAATTCTCACCCAAGTATATTTTTTCCATTGATTTTTAGAGAGAGTGGAAGGGAGGAGGGGGAGGGAAAGAGAAAGGGAGAAAAGTTGGTTGCCTCCTTCACACACCCCAACAGGGGTTGGGGGACTGAACCTGCAACCCTGGTACGTGCCTTTGACTGGGAATCAAACCCTCAAACTTTCAGAGTATGGGCTGACTCTACCCACTGAGCAATGCGGGCCAGGGCATGT